GGCCAGTCCATCTTAAAGCTCTGCAGGAAGTCAGAAAGGGACAGAAAAATGAGAAACGCTGAGAATCCACCCTGTGCCAGGCCCTGCCTCAGTGGTTTTGCATTTCTACCCTCTCATCTCTCTGAGTGGGCACTACAATTCCTTTTCCCCAGTGAGGCTCAGGAGTTTAATGAACATGCCCCAGATGCCACACTCAGTGAGCTCTGGAGCCCAAAGGTGGGACGCAGGCTCAGAACGCCAAATGCAGTGTCCTTTCTGCTATAACTCAACCAGCTTCCTTCCCAAGATTGCTAGCATTAGCTCAGCACAGCTCCACCTCTGGTCTTCCACTGCTCATTGGTTTCAGCTCCTTGTTCATTTCATTCAGCACAACCTTAGAGGGGCTGTGCGGGGCTTTTGGAGTGTGGCAGTGGAGTGACAGCCAGTCCCTGCCCTTATGGCCCGCCAGACTAATGGGTACCAGACATCTGTTCTTTACCTTCAACCAACATTTTTTTTTTTTTGAGACAAAGTCTTACTCTGTCACCTGGGCTAGAGTGCAGTGGCATCATCATAGCTCACTACAACCTCCAACTCCTGGACTCCAGCGATCCTCCAGCCTCAGGCTTCCGAATAGCTGGGACTACAGGCGCTTGCCACCACACCCGGCTAATTTTTCTATTTTTTGTAGAAACGGAGTCTTGCTCTTGCTCAGGCTGGTCTCCAACTCCTGGCCTCAAGCAATCCTCCCACCGGGCCTCTCAAAGTGCTAGGATTACAAGGCGTGAGCCACCATGCCTGGCCTCAACCAATATTTATTGAGGGCTTATATGTCCCAGGCACTGTTCTAGAAGGTACTGGGGATTCAGCATGGATCAAAAGAGTCAGATTCCTACCCTCATTGAGCTAACATTCTAGATTCTATTAGCTGCTGTCCAATTGAATTTTTTGTGTTTATGAAAATATTCTATAATCTGCATTGTCCAATATGGTGGCTATTAACCACATGTGGCTGTTGAGCACTTAAATGTGGATAGTGTGACTGAGAAGCTAAAATTTTGGTTTAAGTTTGATTAAATTTAAGCCATATGTGGCCAGTGGCTATCATACTGGATAGTGCAGGATACTGATCTTAACCAATGAATGATAGCTCAGTGATGGGGCTCTGCTGGAGGAGGCATAGGCAGAGCAGTAAGAATTGTATTGAAGGGAAAAGGTCAGGGCTCAGGGCCCAGAGAAGGTGCCTAATCCAGTCTGAATGGTTTAAGGGAAGTGTGGGGGATGCCAACTGAAGGGGAATCCGTAGGACCCCAAATTTATGGAGACAGCCTGGGGTCTGGACAGTGCTTCTCCAACCTGCTCCCGGCCCCTCGCTTCAGATCATGACTCGCCCATCGGCTGCCAACAAGAACTTCCCGTACCACGTGCGCACGTCGCAGATCGCATCAGCCGGAGCCCCTGGACCAGGAGGGAGCCAGTCGTCGGACAAGGCCTTCCCGCAGCACGTCTATGGGAACGTGACGTTCATCAGCGACTCGGTGCCCAACTTCACGGAGCTCTTCTCCATACCCCCGCCCGCCTCCTCCGTAAGCCCCGCGGCCCCAGCGCCCGAGGAGCTGCTGGCGCCGCCCCTGGAGTACCTGACCCCGCTCCCGGCCCCGCCGCCGCCCCCTGCGCCCGCACCCGGGTGCCTGAGCCCTCCCCCCGCCTTTCGCACGCCCCGCGCCCCAACGCCCCGCCGCGAGTGTCCCCCAGCGCCCGCGCCCACGCTGCCGGACTGGGTCCTGGCGCTGTTGCGCACGCCCCCGCAGACGCCACGCGCCGTGCCCCCGCCGCCCGCCTTCCGCGGCTCTCCCCCAGCTCCCCGGCCGCCGCCGGAGTTCGCCCGGCGCACCCCAACGCCGCCCCTTGAGTACCTAGCCCCGCTGCCCAGGCGCCCCGCCACACGCTCCTTCCCTGACTGACACGCGCATCCATACCTGGGTTGGAGGGGTCCTCCGGGGGGAGGGGGACGGGCCTTCGGGGCCGCATCTGCCCCCCGAGGGTCCCGGACGGCCTCTGACCCTGACCCCCCTCCCAGGCCGGGAAGCAGGTGGAGGAGACGGCGGTGGCGGCGGCGGTGGCCCCGAGGGGCCGCGTGGTGACCATGGCCGAGCCGGGCGCAGCCTCCCCGCCCCCTCCCGCTCGGTTCCCCAAGGCGGCCGACCCGGGCTGGGATGGCCCAACGCCGCCCTACCGGCCGCTCGTGCCCCAGACGGCGGTGCCGCACACCGGCTTCACCGAATACTTCAGCATGCACACGGCCGGGGGCACCGCACCCCCGGTCTGAGCACCCCCACCCGCCCCAGCCCCATGAGCCGCGCGCCGGCCCGGCCGGGCTCTGGACCCCTGCTTTTTCCCGGCCCCAGGGCTCGGTCATCCTGGGCCTTCCCTCCCCTCCCCACCCCGCGCGCCCAGGTGGGGTGCAATGCGTCCCGCCCCCCTCTCCTCTTGTGCCAAACGGTCCCGCGGGAGCCGCTCTCCCCGTCCCCTCCCTCAGCCCCTGCCCCGAGCGGCGCCGGATTCTGGGCTCCCGCTGTTCCGTGACCTCCGGCCCCCTGGCCCCCTCCGAGACCTCTGAGCCCGCCGGACTCCGGAACACCCGTGATGACTGCCGGGACCGTGCCTGTGACTCTCCAGGACTCCGCGACCCCGAGCTACTGCTCCCGGGATGGATATTGTGATGCTGGTCTCGACCCTGAAACCCTCCGTCGGATCTGTAACCTCGGACCCGTGCTCTGTCCGCCCCTATCTCCATTCCAGGGGCCTTCCCTCAGATCCCTAGCAGAAAGACTTTTTTCCCCCTTCTTGCCAAAATAAAGAGGATGCGTTGAGTTTTTATCTACAACATGACTTCTTTTAAATCATGACGGTGTTCGGCGGCGGGGCTGAGCCACAACGGTTTCTGGCTGGGGACCTCAATGTGCCCATCTGTGAAATGGCATTTTGGGTCGGGAGGCAGGGGCCTGCATAACTTGACCCGTATGTTGACCCAAATCTGGGAGCGTTGAAGAAATCAAATCTAGCAGGGCCCTCTCAGTGCACCGCTCCTTTATTTTTATCTTCCCTTCTGCAGTTAGATGTAGAGGCGCCCTCCAGTGGCACAGGTTTTGCTCAGCCACCAGCACCCCGAGTCTGGGTTACGATCTTAGCACTGCGCATGTGTGAGTCTCTCCTCGTTAGCCTTGGAGGCCGCTGCTGCGCATGCGGCTGGGAACAAATGGGCGGGGAAATTTCCGGAAGTCTTTCTTTGCAGAGGGGTGGGGTTGGGCGCTCCGCAGTCCTCCCAGGGCCGCTCTGACCGCCGCTCTGTAACTTCTCGCCTCCTCCTCTTCGCCCGCCCTCCCACAGCGGCCGCTCGGGTCCCGCCCCCTCGCCCTCCCGGCGGGTCTTCCCGGGGCCGCTCTGGCCCAAGCGTCCCCTCGTCTCTCTGATCTGGCCTATCTCGCTCTTGAGTGAGGCGCGGGTGGGTGAGCAAAAGAAGCGCGTCTATGGGGTCCCGGCCCGAGCCCCTGAAACCTGGCTCCGCCCCCGGCACCCGCTCGCGCCCCGCCCCCGGCTGGAGGAGTCTCTCCCCGACCATCCGAGCCTGGCCTGTCCCGGCCTGCACCCTCTACGGAGGCCCCTGTCGGGCCGTAGAGCCCTGCGCCCCCTGGGGACTCATCCATCTATAAGGTCCGTTTTGGCCTGCAGCGGCCTGAGTCTGTAACTGCTGGACACTTTATGGGGTCGGCCTCTTTATGGGGGCCTGTGTCTATAGGGGACCCCCACGGTCCCTAGGGGTTGGCCCCATCCATAATGACTTCATATACAGGGCATTCTATCGGTCTATAGGGCCCGCTCCTCGGCATCCAGAGCCCGTCAACAGTGGCCTTTCCCTTCGCAGGGACTGCGTCTCCGGGACCTCCCCGGTCTGCACGGTCATGCCATGCCTATAGGGATCGCATTTGCAGGGCCTTAAGCCGGGTAGAGGGTCCTCTCCAAGTCTGTCTCTAAGGGGAGCCGTGTGAGAGGCGGCGATGGCCCTGGTCGAGGCTCTGGCCATGGCACTGGCCCTGGCCTTGGCCATGTTGGGCTCGCTGTCCCCCGGGGCCCGGGCGGGGGACTGCAAGGGGCAGCGGCAGGTGCTGCGGGAGGCTCCAGGCTTCGTGACCGACGGTGCCGGCAACTACAGCGTCAATGGCAACTGCGAGTGGCTCATCGAGGGTGAGTGGGGCCGCGTGGATCACTCACTAATTCGCTGCTAGTTCATTCATTTGTGCATTCAACCATTTACCACTTTCTCAGAGCCTGGCTCTGGTCGAGGCCTTTTGCTCTAAAATGCTGGACACCCAGGGTTTCAGCCAACCTGGGCCCTGCCCTGGAAGTCCTCAAAGTCTGGTGGGGGAGATGTACCGAGACCCAGATGGACGGTCACAAGCCAGGAGCATCAGTCAGGGGTCTTCTAAGTAATTGTTAAAAACTCAAACTCTTGAGTCCAATCACCTGGCTTTGAATATGGCTCTACTTCTTTCTGACTTTAGGCAAGTGGCTTCCTTCCTCTGAGGTTCAGGTTCCCTTACCCCCAAATGGGGATGACAATACTACTCACCTCATAGGGTTGTTGGAATTAAATGAGACAAGGTATTTAACATGCCTGATTCATGGCACATAGTAAATGTTCAATAAATGGTATTAGGATCGTTATTGTTGGTTTAAAGGTACTTCAACAAAAGCGTTTTTTGTAGGCATTCATGTGCCACATGGGACATGACAGAGTCCAAGACAGCCCCAGCAATCCCTGGTGACTTAGGGCTGGAATTCCAATGGGGGAGACAAACACGTTAACAGTGACAGCCCAGAGTAGTCTGTGATGGAGGAACCCAGAGGAGAGCCCAGAGGAAATGCCTGAGCTGGAGGCAGGGGAGAACAGAGAGGCATCTTCGAGGAGGAGATGCCTGAGTGGAGATGAGAAGGACCCATGGGAATCAGGAGGAGGAGGAAGAGTATTCCAGAAGGACAGAACAGCCTGTGCAAAGACCCCAGCCCTACTCTATGGGCTCCCAGTCAGTGGGGGAGACAAACCCACTCCCAGGGAGTGGGGAAGCCCAGAGAAGACATCTGACTTGGTGTGGGGTATACCTGAGACCAGAGGCATGTGTACGAGCGGGCAGAATAGCCCATGCAAAGGCCTGAAAACAGGGGAGCGTGACGCTTTTGAGGAACTAGAAATCTGGTTTGCTAAAACGTAGAGTACAAGAAGACAACCAGCGAGCCAGAGGCTGCAGGATTGAGAGGGGCTAGAGGAGGGGTATCCTGTGGGCAATAGGGAGGTGGAAGAGAAATCCAAAGGCAATGGCTAGAGACGTCCAGGAGGAGCCCACAGAGCAGTGGACATAGGAGGTGGCCTCTAAGGAGAGGTAGGAGTTCCGCAGACAGGGGAGGTTGTGGGCAAAGGCCAGAGGTGCAACAGGGCCTGGATCATGCAGGGCCTGCCTTAGCAAGCTGTGGAGCTTGGTCTTTATCTGGGGGCACTGGGGAGCTATGGCAGGGTTTTGTGCAGGGGGAGGTTATGCTTTAAAACAGTGGTCCCCAACCTTTTTGGCACCAGGGATCGGTTTCATGGAAGACAGTTTTTTCCACGGACTGGGGGTGTGGGGGTTTGGGGAGAGAGGCAGAGCTCAGGCGGTGATGCAGGGATGGGGAGTGGCTGTAAATACAGATGAAGCTTTGCCTGCTCACCCACCACTCACCTCCTGCTGTGCGCCCCTGCCTGCCCCCACCCAGGTTTCATGGAAGACAATTTTTCCACAAATGGCCAGGGGTGAGGGGTGGGGAGCGGCAGAGCTCTGTGACCCGGTCCCTAACTAATAGGCCACGCACCAGTACTGGTCCATGGTCCTGGGGTTGAGGACTGCAGTTTTAGAAGATCTCTCTGGCTGCTGTGTGGGGTATGGGTGGAGGCATGTTTCCTGTGGTAAGCGTGTCTAACTGTCTCCAGCTTGGGGGCCATTCCTGTTAGGCTGGGGGTGTGAGAACAGAATGGGAGTGGGGAGGGGTATAAATCATTCTCTGGCCTTGAAGAGTTCCAGACTAGTTGGGAATAGTGGAGCTGGACACAGACATTCCGCCCCCACTGTGCTCACTGAGATGGGAAAGTTGGGATTGGGTGGATGGGCCTAGGGGAGGGAGAGGACCTGCTGGGAGTCACAGAGGAGGAGCCACTGAAGCAGGGTTCTGAAGCATGCATAGGAGTTTACTGCATGGGAAAAGGGAACAGCCCCTGTGTAGACATGAGGGAGGCTGGTGTGTCTCAGGATGCATGTCTAGGTTTGTCTGGTCTGACTGCACTGTGGACTGGGAGGCGAAAAGGGAGCTGGAAGCAGTGGAGGAAGGGCCTTGAATGTCACACTGAGCATCTTAGCGTTTATCTTGGGGTTGACGGGGAGCCACAGAAGGATTTTGAGCAGGAGTAGGGCATTGCTCTCAGGCTGGGTGGGGGGCAGACTGGAGACTTGGTGAGCTTCTCGAAGGAGAGGGTTAGTTCTGAGCTGGGGCAGGGACTAAAGGGGGTGGAGAAGTGTGGAGAGTGCAGAGAGATGTTGGTGGCATTTCACCAGTGAGACTTGGGGACCAGCTGGCTGGATGTTGGGGTGAGGGAGGAGTCCGGGAAACCTCCAGACCCCTCCCTTGATCTCCTGTTTTCCCAATGCCTGTCACCTCTAAGAACCAACATCTTCCTCCATCTATTAAAAAATAAGCAACTGACCCATTTACTTTTGTACCACATTCCCTTTTTCTGGTCCTAGTCTTCATAGCATCCTCACGAATAAGAGGCGTCCTGCTTTTGAGCTGGGGGAGTGGTTGGGATCAGATTTCTGTCTGGAGTGGTGTGGGGGGTTGAGTGGAAACAGGAGACCTTGAACTTAGGGAGGAACCTTGGGAAGGCAGATGGTGAGCTGGCCTCCAGCTAGCGCTTGACAAAGATGTACTTGTTGTGATTCCAGGAAGAGAGCTTTATAGTTTGGTTGAGGCTGGTAAGATTCTGGGAGGTCCGGTTGCCTGGTCTGGCTGAATGGGTCTTGTGCATTCCCCAGACCACGGGTGGGGATCCATGTGCGATGTTCTTGGGGCCTCTGGTCACAGCCTCAGGGAGAGCTGCCAGTCTCAGTGTTCTTTCTTTTGTGTATTTCCTCATTCCCCCATCCGGCACTTCCTGAGCCCTTGCTCGGCACCAGACCTTGGCCTGGGCAATGGTGGGGAGGGAATTAGGCCCAGGTCCAGGCTGTGCCCTGTGGGCCTTGCAGGCTGCAGGGCAGACAGACCTGGACTTAGATGGTCCTGGCCTGGAGGAATGAAGGTTATTATGGGATATGAGAACCCCAAAGAGGGGCTCCTAATCCAGCCAGGAGGCAATAGGGAAGCCCTCCTGGAGGAGGAGTGGAAGCTAGCTGGTGGGAAGGGAAAGTATGTTATAGATCGAGGGAGAAGGGGACATCACGAGGCTGGTGTCCAGTGGTCCTGGTGGGAGACGATGAGGACTGGGCAGGCACGTTATTGAGCACCCTGGCTCTGGGCTGGCAGGTTAGAGTCATCATCTCA